AAAAAAAAAAAAAAAAAGAAACAGAATACGAACAATTTTTTGATGTGGATTTTGACAAAATACAGAAAAACCACAACCAGAAACAAGCTAGTAAGACAAGGACTAAAATATGCACTTTCTTTTTTCTTTTTAAAAAGAGATTTTTGCTATAGGACACACGTACACACCCAAGAGACAGAGAGACTGAGAGCGAGAAATCATCCCCCCGGGGGGATGGCCCTGCTGCAATCCCTTTTCCATTCTCCTCTCAGGATTTTGGGCATGCATGCACATGTCCCCAGCGTAAGTTTTAGCTGCTGGGTCTGGGACTCAAGCCACAGTCGACTACGTGGAACTCCAGCGACATAACCATTATACCATCTGCCGGTCTCTAAATATGTACTTTCTAAGCTGCATCGACTTTTTCTGTCTTTTAAGGTTTTTGTTCTGTGTTAACATGCAGATGTAGCTTTTATAAGGGGCATCACTTAAAGAGGAAAGCATACACTGTAATTACACAACTTGTACTCTGAGAAGCTCCCTTTCTCTCCCTCTCGACTGAACCTGGACTGCCAGCACAGCGCCCTCCGGCCTTGCCCTCGAGCTCAGGCCGGACTGCTCAGGATGGCTGGGAAGCGGTCTCCGGTTAGCCTGGCGGCCTTGGAGAACTGCTGACAGCTGTATGGGGCCCCACGCCAGCTCAGCGGGAACACTGGACCAGCAGAGGTCCGCTGTTACGGTAAGCTGACTCTGGGCTAAGGGGGAAAGAAACCACACGGCATCGGGAATGCATCTGTGCTCAACTGCAGCCTCTTGGCAGGTTGAAGGCAAAGGCCCGTCCATGTTAACAAATGAGGCCCAAAGCTGGAGAACAGCTCTAGCCGGAACGAAAGGGGTCTCACCCAAGCGCACGAAGGCTGGGGTAAGGGAGGTGTGAATCTCCTTCCCTGCACTCAGCTACGAAGCCTCCAGAAAAGGCAGAAAGGGGAGAAAGAGCACTTACCTGCTTGGGCCTGGGGGACAGAATTAGAGAATTTCTTGAACTTGGCAATAAAGAAACCATCCATATTATGAGTATGAGGGTAGAAGCGTCGGGTAGAGCGCAGGGTGGGATGGAAACGCCTTTCCTGAAATCTGTAAAAAAAAAAAAAAAAAAGAAACAGAATACGAACAATTTTTTGATGTGGATTTTGACAAAATACAGAAAAACCACAACCAGAAACAAGCTAGTAAGACAAGGACTAAAATATGCACTTTCTTTTTTCTTTTTAAAAAGAGATTTTTGCTATAGGACACACGTACACACCCAAGAGACAGAGAGACTGAGAGCGAGAAATCATCCCCCCGGGGGGATGGCCCTGCTGCAATCCCTTTTCCATTCTCCTCTCAGGATTTTGGGCATGCATGCACATGTGCCCAGCGTAAGTTTGAGCTGCTGGGTCTGGGACTCAAGCCACAGTCGACTACGTGGAACTCCAGCGACATAACCATTATACCATCTGCCGGTCTCTAAATATGTACTTTCTAAGCTGCATCGACTTTTTCTGTCTTTTAAGGTTTTTGTTCTGTGTTAACATGCAGATGTAGCTTTTATAAGGGGCATCACTTAAAGAGGAAAGCATACACTGTAATTACACAACTTGTACTCTGAGAAGCTCCCTTTCTCTCCCTCTCGACTGAACCTGGACTGCCAGCACAGCGCCCTCCGGCCTTGCCCTCGAGCTCAGGCCGGACTGCTCAGGATGGCTGGGAAGCGGTCTCCGGTTAGCCTGGCGGCCTTGGAGAACTGCTGACAGCTGTATGGGGCCCCACGCCAGCTCAGCGGGAACACTGGACCAGCAGAGGTCCGCTGTTACGGTAAGCTGACTCTGGGCTAAGGGGGAAAGAAACCACACGGCATCGGGAATGCATCTGTGCTCAACTGCAGCCTCTTGGCAGGTTGAAGGCAAAGGCCCGTCCATGTTAACAAATGAGGCCCAAAGCTGGAGAACAGCTCTAGCCGGAACGAAAGGGGTCTCACCCAAGCGCACGAAGGCTGGGGTAAGGGAGGTGTGAATCTCCTTCCCTGCACTCAGCTACGAAGCCTCCAGAAAAGGCAGAAAGGGGAGAAAGAGCACTTACCTGCTTGGGCCTGGGGGACAGAATTAGAGAATTTCTTGAACTTGGCAATAAAGAAACCATCCATATTATGAGTATGAGGGTAGAAGCGTCGGGTAGAGCGCAGGGTGGGATGGAAACGCCTTTCCTGAAATCTGGTAAAACCTTCCTGGCCAAAGTCGAGGCCTGTGGGCACCAGCCGCACATTCCTCTTTTTCAGGGCGTAATCTACCACCCACTCGTTCTCTTCCACCTGGGAATGTGGGGAGACAGACAAGACAGAGACAGATGGCACTGAGGGCACAAGGAGCCCTGCAGCCCACAGCCCGCCTCCCACGCCGAGGGCAGAGGCCTGACCGTGACAGAGCAGGTGCAGTAGACGAGGTAGCCCCCCGTCTTGGAGTTGGCGTTGACAGAGTCGATGGCACTCAGGAGCAGCTCCTTCTGAAGGTGGGCACAGCGCAGGATGTCCTTTTCATTCTGTCCCAGAGGGAGCGGGTGCCCGGACGTCAGCAGTAGCCTGAGCACAGCCAGCTCTGCCAGAGCCCGGCCTCGCGGCTGATCCCACCTCAACTCACCTTGTTGGTCTTCACAGCTGGGTCCTTGGAGATGACACCGGTGCCACTGCAGGGAGCGTCCAGCAGTACTCGGTCAAAGCCCCCTACCACCTGGGAGAAGGAGTGGGCTAAGCCGCCGCCCTCGGCCACCTGTGGCCCGCTGCTGATTCCCAGGGAGAGGCTACACATTTTGCCATCAGGAAAAAGTCTCAGGAGGGACCCAGAGAGGGCAGCCCCACCTTGGGGAACCGCCGCCCATCGTAGTGGCTGAGGATGGTGTTGGTGACTCCCAGCCGGTGCAGGTTGCCCACCACGCTCTTGAGCCGCTCCGCGTTGGCATCATTGGCAAGGATCACACCTGTGTTCTTCATCAGCTGAGCTGCAGGGAGGGAGGGCAGGCCACGTGCTGGCCAGTCAGTTCCTCGGCTCCCACCCTCCAGCCCGGAAACCCAGGCAAAGCCTCACCACAAGGCCAAGGTCCCTCCCAACAGGCCCTGCTCCCCACTGCCCTCTGCAGGCCGACCCAGTCTTCACTGGGCCTGGTGTTGAGACCCGCCAGCGGCGTAGAGTGAAAGGTCACAATCGCCATCACGTGATGCTGCACCAAGGGCTCCAAGTGCATGAGCGCCTTCAGACGACGGAGAGAGAGCTCGCCCCAGGTCAGGGGGTAGCAGCAACCCACCTGGCACTGAGACCAGGCCGCCCTGGCCGCTCTGCCCGCTTCTGCACACTGTTCCAGGGACACCCGTGAGTCACCAGCCACAGCTGCCCCGCCTGTCCCCGTACCTATGTAGCTGGTCTTCCCTCCAGGGGCACAGCACATGTCCAGGATCCGCTCGTGCTCCTGCGGTGCCAAGGCCATGACGGGCAACATGCTGGAGGCTCCCTGCAGCATGTAGTGCCCGGCCAGGTACTCGGGAGTGGCACCTGCAGAGGACGGCCCAGTGACGTGCCAGCACAGGGAGGGGGACAGCGGGGCTACTGGGCAGGGCACACTTACCAATAGGCACCGAAGAGTCATATACCACCAGGCCAGTCTTCGACCACTTGCCCAGGGGATCCAGGTTAACCCCACGATTGATTAGAGCCTGAAGAGGAGAAAGATGAAGACTGAAAAGTCCACAGGCAAGGCCAGCAGGTGGCATAGTTGTTAAAGTGCTAGATTCCACGTGGCTGACTACACAGTTCGAGTCCTGAACTCAGAGCCTTGAAAATCACACTGGTACATATGCGAGCCCAAAACCCCAAGAGGAAAATGAAGGGGGTACTGCGACATAGCCATGCCCGTGGGATGATCCCTCACTTTCCCTGTCTCTCTGGGGAGCACATGCACTCAAAAGCAAAACTGAGAAAAAAAAAAAAAACAAAAAACCAGAAACAAAGCCCAGAGGCTACTCCACCAGAAAATGGAGGCACGAAGACATGGTCTTACTGGCAGGCCTGCGGCCCTAACGGCCAGTGCTTCCCTAGGGTACACCGCCAGCAGGCCACACAGTTCTCTGCCCTCTCCCACCCCTCGGTGGCCCCTGCTCAACCTCGGGCTCCCGACTCAAGATCTGAGCTCCATCCACCTAATGGAGCAGGCTGCCACCCCCGGTTCGCGCGTCCTGGAGCGGACGCCGATACTCTAGAGGCTCAACCCCCACCCTCGAACTTAATGTGACTTATGGCTACAGCACTTTAAGGGTGATTACGGATTATCTTCACACCAAGACACATAGGACCACACTGACTTTAAAACTAGGGGCCCCACCCAGCCTGGCAGTGGAAAAGGCTGGATCCCACATGGCTGACCATGTGCTGAGGTCCCAGAAACACACAGGGTGCACATGTGCACGCGCCGGCCAAGGATCCTGAGGACCCCGAGGGGAGGGAGAAATGGAGACGAGGTTGCAGTGAGACTGCTCCCATGGAGGCTGCTTTCTCACTCGCGCTCTCTGGCCAGTGTGCATGCCCTCTAGTAAATAAAAACAAAGCAAGGGACGAAGGGCCCCTGGGGGCCCCTGGGCACTGGGAGACAAGCCTAGGACAGCATCCGCACGTCTTTTGGGAAGCACGTTCACCCTGACGGGGGATCCTTGTCCTAGCCCTGAGACAGAGGTCGGAGAGATGGGCTTCCCGTTTCGTAGGCGTCCCAGGCCCTCGGCCTGCTGGGCAGACACTGGGCCTCTCTAGGTCTGCACCCTGGACCACGCTTCTACTACGAGTGCTCAGGTCACAAGACCCCAGGCAGGGTGGGACGGGGGGCTCCCGGGGTGAGCAGAAGCCAGTCCTTCCGTGAGATAAGCCAGCCGTAAGAGCGCCAGCTCACCTGAGCAAGGTCTCGCCGTCGGGTCTTTAAGGTGTTGGTCCGGAGGGTGATGGGCCGAGGCACCTCGTTAGCTTCTAAGAACTCGACCAGCTGGGAGGAAGGGGGCAGGGAGCGAGTCAGGCAGGCAAGGAGCTCAGTGAAAGGAGGGGGCTGGACGACTCCGCGCACGGGCGGAGGACGAGCAGAGGCTCAGACTGGCAGCCCGCACCTCGGACAGCGGGAAGAGGTCCATGAGCTTGCCGAGGAGGAAGTCTCCATAGGAGTAGTAAGTGGCCAGGTCCTTCCGAAGCCGGTTCAGGTATTCTGAGCGGGACCGACCTTCCTCTCGCTGAGTCCCAAAATTCCGCAGCACTTCCACTATGTCCTGGATCCTCTTGTGAACTCGCTGCAGGTCTAGAGCCAGGACACGGCCCGGTAAGGAATTGTTTCATGATGTCCTCGGCCTGCAACACCCTCTCCCAAGCACCTTCCTCCTACCCCTCACCCTGCGCAGGAAGGATGTCCTGCTCCATCTCTCCAGCAGGGGGCAGCACAAACGGGTCCTCCCCATTCACATTGATCTGCAGGTCCCCATCTGCATCATCAACCTGTGTGGGGCCAGACCCAGGAGACACTTCTGCCTCCTCCTCGTCTGTCTCCTCCTCACTCCACTGGCCCCTAGAAACAGGTGACGAAGATTCAGACCAAAACAGACACCCCCTCCTTCCACAGCCACCATCACAGACAGACCCTCCTCCACCCTCGCAGGTTCCCAAACTCACCCGGCAGCGGCCTCCTGGGCCTTCTCCCTCTGAGCGGCTCTCTCAATGGGCAGCAACTGTGGGAGACAAGGGTTGCTGGTGTGAGCCTGCCCTTCCGTCACCCCACGTAGGGCTTTCTACCCCTCTTTTCCCCGAAATGTAAAGTTGTAAAGTTTTTGCCACAGGCCCGGTCCAGGACCTGAACCACGTGTGCTCACCAGAGAGGAGAGTGAGGTCGCCCCCTGTGGGGGAGGACGGTCATACCGCAATCCCCTCTCCTCGATTTTGGGCACTCGCGCATGAGCCCAGTGGGGCTTTTCTCAAGCTGCCAGGTCTGGGACTCAAACCGCGGTCAGCCATGTGAGAGCCCAGCGCCTTTACCACCCCACCTGCTGGCCCCACCCTAAATGTGAAAGCTGAGTATGACTGGCATGGCGTCTTCCCTCGTACTCGTGCTAGCACTGTGTGTCCTGGTCATGTAAAATGCCCTACCCTGGGCCAGGACAGCAGGGGGACAGTGGTTAACACTGTGCGGCTAGACCTACTAGGGTTTGCATCCGGGATGGGCTGAGACTGCAGTGGATTGTAGTGCGAGGGCCCTGCTAGAGGTGCCCTTCTTTTTTGGGGGTGGGGGGACAAATTTCTCGTTGCTTTATCAGAGGCTCAATCACCTGGCATTTGCTAGAAAAAGCCAGGGAGCCCTTCACAAATCTTTGTCATCCTCGTGCTGGGGCCGTGCTAGTCTTTGTATCCTTCCAATTTCCGCGTACGTGCTGCCGCAGCGAGCACTAGAGGTGCCCGTCTTCACACCCTCTCTCTCTCATGGAAGAAATAAACAAGGATCTATAAAAATAAAACTTAACAAGTAAAGGCCGACGCTGTAGCACAGTGGCTGAGCACTGTGCACAGGAAACAGAGCCCGCACGGCCACTGCAGTTCAAATCCCAGCTCCAGTGGTTTGAAAGACACTCTCAGTACGTGTGCATGCCCAAATCCTCATGGGAGAGAAGAATGGAGGAAAAGGACTGGGGTGTGAACACACCCCACTGGGGGTGTTCTCTGTCTCTTCCTCTCTGGTGAGCACAGAGCCTTGGACAATAAAAAAAGTTAAATAAAAGGACCAGCAGTTAGTGTAATGGCTATGTCACTGGACTCCCACATAGTCGACCGCAGTTCGCGTCCCGGACACAGTGGCTTAAAACTCACGCCGGGTGCGTGTGCGTGCGTGCCCAAGATCCCAGGAAGAGAATGGAGAAGGGATTGCGGCGTGGCCATCCCCTCTAGGGGGTGATCTCTCACTTTCTGTCTCTCTCTGTCTGTCTGGCGAGCGCACGAACCCTATAGCAAAAACCTCCAAAAAAATAAAAAAAAAAAGAACCAGCCCCATCACAGTGCTTAAACTTTGTGAAGGGAACAGATCCCACATGGCCAACTGCAGTTTAAGTCCTGGCCTCAGCAACTTGAAAAACACGCCAGACACATGAGCACATGTCCCCGGATCCTGACGATATGGAGAAATGGAACAGAGATTGCAGCATGACCACGGCCCCTGTAGGGGCTTCCTCCCTTCTTCCCTCTCCGGTGAGTATGCATAGCCTCTAACAGTTAAAAATAACTGATGTGAGTAATTACAAAGTTTTCTGAGGGACCTGCAGATGGCATAATGGTTGCGTTGCTGGACTCTCCCAGTCGATCGCAATTTGAGTCCTGGACCCGGGGACTTAAAACTCACGCTGAGCATATGTGTGTGCGTGTGCCCAAAATCCCGAGAGGAGAATAGAGAAGGGACTGCAGCATGGCCATCCTTCCTGGGGGGTGATTTCTCAATTTCTGTGTCTCTCTTGCTGGCTCTCTGGCAAGTGCACACACCCTAAAGCAAAAATCTCTTTAAAAAAAAAGTTTTTAGAAAGGGGCCAGCAAGTAACACGGTAACACGGTGGTTAAGGCACTGAATTCCCACATGGCAGACAGCAGTTCAAGTCCCAGACCTGGCAGCTTGAAAAGCATACCAGGCTGCAGGGTGGTGTCTCTCTCTCTCTCTGTCTGTCTGTCTCCCTCCAGCCAACACACACGCCCTATGGCCAAAACATTAAAAAAAAAAAAAAGTTTCTTAAAAAAACGAACACCTGGCCCAGCTTGGTGGCAGTGCTCAGGGCCCTACCACGCAGTAGGTAGGTGCTGGGCCACGTGGAGACTCAGGTCAGTGCCCTGTCACTTGACGTGCCCGCACCCTAAGTGGCCGGGAACTCTGACGGGAGGAGTTGTGCACTACGGCAGATCCTGTCAGGGTGCTCATCTTCTTTCTCTCCCTCTCACTCAAAAAATAAATACATAAAACCTCCTAGTCTACACCTTTCCAAACCTGAGTGTGCGCTGACAGAACCTGAGGCAGAGCAGTGATGTGCACCAACCCCCTCCTCCAGCCAGGCTTCTCCACCGGAAAACAAAGGAAAGGGCAAGGGTCCTTTTCTGAGCACGCTGGATGGCTCCCTCACCTCTGCACCTTCGTCCTCATCCGCTGAGTCCGAATCGGCTCCATAGTCGTCTACCATATCGGCATCACTGTCCTCAGAGCCCCAGGGATCGCCCCGGCTCCCCACACTGTCGTCTTCAGAGTCCTCCTCCTCACTGCTCTGGGTTGGTGCTGGGCGCTTCTTGCCCCGAGCAGCGTTGGTAACTAAGGGCTTGGCTCCCTTCTGACCAGGTGTCGGGACGGCTCCTGCAAAGGTCCGAGGGTTTGACGGATCCCAAATGAACGGCAGCCACACACTCCCCTGTGTTGCACGCCAGGAGCCTGTACTCTCTACTCACCAGTGTCCTTTGGCTGCTCCTGCCGTTTTAGAAAGGCTTGGCTCGTCCTCCCCCACCCAGGACCTGGAGGACCCCTCATGCCACACCCTGCTCCTGTGATCACTGACCTTTCCGGAGCTTTGCAGGCAATGGTTTGGTCGCAGGGGACGCATTTGCCTTAGGAGTTGCAGCAGCGCCCAACCTCCTCTTGGCTGCCCTGAAAAGACAGAGTGAGGAAGTGAACACCTCCAGGGTCTGCCAGAACCACCCAGCCCCTCCATCAGCCTGTCCCACAGGGCTGAAGATAAGCAGTGAGACACCACCACGTCACGTCTATGCCCACCCTCACCTCTTGCGTGCACGACTAGACAGCCTCTTGGAATTTTCATCACCGGCTATTAAAACAAAATTTAACAGGACGTTATAGGGAAAACAAGAAAGAGAAATCAAAACAGAAGTAGGGCATGGTGTGCCTCACTCCGGGAGCTCAATAAGATACATAAAGGAAATGAAGCACTGTGCTGGTTGACACGCAACCGAACCCAGATTTCGATAAATGGCATCACCGCCACTTTGATACCAACATGGATTCAAAACTTAGTTTTTCACACTGGCCTACGGCTGGGTGGTCGAGGGAGCCAAATCCCACAAGGCCGACTGCTCAGCTCCAGTCCCTGCCCCAGCAGCTTGAAAACCATGCCCAGCACGTGTGCATGACCCAAATCTCGAGAGAACGGAGCAATGGACAGGGATGCCAGTTGGGGGTGCTTTCTCACTCTCCCTGTCTCTTTCTCTGATGAGCGCATGCACTTAAAAAGAAAAAAAAGGCCAGTAGATGGCATTATGGTTATGTCAGTGGACTCATACATGGCCATGCACCATGTTCGAGTCCTGGACCCAGTAGCTTGAAAATCATACTGGGTACATGTGTGTATGTGTCCAAGATCCAAAAGGAGAATGGAGAAGGTATCGCAGGGTGGTGATCCCCTCCCAGGGAATGATTTCTCACTTTCCCTCTCACTCTGTCTCTCTCCAGGCACACACCCTAAAGCAAAACCTCTTTAAAAAAAAAAAAAACGAACAGGGACCAGCAGTTAGCGTAATGGCTATGTCACTAGACTCCCATGTAGTCGACTGCAGTTCGAGTCCCGGACCTGGCGGCTTAAACTCACACCAGGTGTGTCTGCGTGCATGCCCAAGATCCTGAGAGGAGAATGGAGGAGAAGGGATTGCAGCGTGGCCATCCCCCCTAGAGGATGATTTCTTGTTTTCTGTCTGTCTCTCTTTCTGGCAAATGCACACACCCTATAGCAAAAACTTCTCAAAAACAAAACAAAACAAAAACAAAAATACGAGACCAGCAGGTGGTGTAGTGGTTAAGATGCTGGACAATCCCATATGGCTGACCATGGTTTGAGTCCCGGACCTGGTGGCTTGCTTTCTCACTTTCCCTCTCTCTCTGGTCAAATTAAAATAAATGAATGAATAAAAATAAAATTTTAAAACACATGGCAGTTGAAAACTCACTCCAGCGGCATGTACATGCCTGCCAAGATCCCAAGAGGAGAATGGAGAAGGGACTGCAGCGTGGCCATCCTCCCTTGGGGGTGATTTCTCACTTTCTGTCTATCCATGAGGGCACTCACTCTACAGCAAAAATACCTTTTAAAAAAAAAAAAAACAGCTTTTTTCTGGCCCTTTCTTTTTTTTTTTTTTTTTAAGAGTTTTTTGCTATAGGGCGTGTGCACTCGCCAGACAGAGAGACAGAAAGCGAGAAATCGCCCCCCAGGGGGGATGGTCACGCCACAATCCCTTCTCCATTCTCCTTTCAGGATTCTGGGTACGCACACATGCCCAGCGTGAGTTTAAGCCACCGGGTCCGGGACTCGAACCATGGTCAACTACGTGGGAGTCTAGCGACATAGCCATTACGCCAATTGCTGGTCCCGTGGCCCTTTCTTTTACTCTTACTTTACTCAGTTACCACCCACAGGAGATGTGAACTTCCTTCACTACTGCTCTTCTTCACACATTCTCCAAGGAATAAATTATTTAAACTTTTTTTTTTTAAAGGTTTTTGCCATACACTTGCTGGAGAGACAGAGAGAAGAAAAGTGAGAAATTGCTCTGCACAGGGGATGGCCATGCCATGATCCCCTTCCTTCATTCTCCTCCTGGGATTCTAGGCACACATGCACATGTGTCCAGCATGATTTTCAAGCCACCAGGTCCAGGACTCTAACAGCAGTCAGCCATGCGGAGTCCAGCACCTTAACCACAGCGCCCAACTTAACTCCATCATGTGATAACTAACAAGTTACTTAACCCCTCAGCATCTACTTCCTAAACAGAGCCTCTCTCACAGGACTCTACGAAAACTTACACACTGTGTTCAAGAGTTCACTTTAGTACCTAGGACTTGCTAATCCCACAATAAACTCCCTCTGCAGTCTTCTGGAATCCCAGTGCACTCATCACGTGGGAATCCGGCCTGTACTCTCCCACCTCCATTCCGTCCACAAGGCAGTTCAGACTGGGCCTGTCCCACTCGCAACTTCCACTTACTAAGATGTCACCGAGTGTTTGAAGCCTAGCTTAATAAAAGATTTTTAAATTCTGCATGGATTCCCCTGGCTCCGAACTCTCAGTGGTAAGCCGCATCTCTCGGCATAGGTTCTCAGGCCCTGTGGCACCTTCACTAAGTTCTAAGCGCTGATGACAGTTTCATTCATACTTACTTAAGAGATTCTCTCAGAAAATGAGCAGAGTAAAAAAGAAAGGGCGTTATTACACGGAATGGCGCAAAATCTTGGGGGTTAGGAGTCACCACTGACCCTTACCTGCAGGTAAGAACCTGGCAAGTTCAGTCTCGGCACCCTTCTGTTTGCGGGCCTTTCGGCCCGGCCCGCGCTTCTCCTTCGTCGGGTCCAACTTACGCCCCATGGTACTGGAGGAAAGAACAGCGATAATGTAGGTTGCGCGTGCTGGAAAGAGAACCACGGGGGGCACTGGCGCCGCCTGGGCAGCACCCCCGAGGCCAGCCCGGCCCGACCCGACCCGCCCTCTCGGAGCCGCCGGTACTGCGCCCCTCTCCCACGCCCCAGGCCAGATCGGCGCTGCCACCCTTCCTTCCCCGACTTCCTCTAGAACCACCCGAAGCCCCCGAAGGCGGGCCCAGGCCGAGGACCCCGCTCCGTACCCCGCGCTGCACTCCACGTGCACTCCAGGGACAGCGTTCGGGCTCCGCACTCCGCGGAAACGTTCCACGCAAGCGCACTGAGCGCGCTCGCCTCGCGGCCCCGCCTCTTCCGGTTGCGTTGGACCGCGGCGGCCCCCGGAACGGGTTCTGGTCTAACCGCGCGTGGAGCGGGCGGCAGCGGGCCGGGGGAAATTCCGGGGCGGACCGCCCGGCTCGCACGCGCCGCCGGCAGGGAGGAGGGAACTGTGCGTTGCCCTTCCCTCTAGGTGGTGGTTTCTGCTCGAGACCGGCTCCCCAGAAAAGCTGGCGCCTAGCAGCCGTCTTCTCCCCGCGCCCCGCCGCCCGCCCGGAACCCGAGCATACCGGCTGTGCGCGCCCAACCCCACCACCCTGTTAGGCCCAGCTTCAAGGCCGAGAACTCCGTGCCGCTCACCCTCCTACTGCCAGCCCTCGGATAGGAAGCGCCCGGCCCTCCTTCGGACCCCTGCTCAACCTGTCAGTTAAGGTTACCTGTCCCTAATTCACACCTGGAGGGAGGGCAGGTGGCATCTTGCCTCGTTTCACAGGATTGAGCCAGGAAAACCGCTGCTTTTCCAAATTGACACTAGCATAGTGTTTGGTGGGCGTTTAAAACTGTTCCACGCACTTGGCTGCTTTTATCTTCACAACCCTACGAGGTAGGTATCTTTATTTTATACTTGAGAAATCTGCACCCCAGAAAACTGAACTTGCTCAACAGCAGGGGCTCCGCGGTTTTGCAGCCTCTTGTGGAGGTAACCATTGGTAGCAGGGAGCACACTGGCTCTTCAGAGGAAGATCAGGACAGCAGGTATCCTTAAGTTTTCCTGGGGCTCCTGCCATACACACCCATCCACCTGCACCTACACCCACACTGAACCAGAGCACTAAAATACAAGGAAACCTTTATTTCAATTTTCATCAAGAAATTTGCTGTGGTTTTTTTTATGCTTTTGGTTTTTTTTTTTCCTTTTTTTTTTCCACTTTATTTCGTTTAGCCATTCGGTGGCTAGAGCCGCTGGGTTCCTGGGCTTAAAAAGATGCCAACAGAGGTAGCTGTGTCTCGCCCAGGGGCCCGGCCCACTCTGAATACCCCAAAAAAGGAGAAAACAAAACACAAAATAAACCAACAAAATAAAACCAAAAGGAGGAAGAAATTCAGATCATTTTCTTCAAGCCTGGCAGGAACCCACAACAGTTTGTGTGTAACAGGCGTTACAGTGGGGGGAAGCCAGGGTCCAAGGCCAGCCCGCCAGCTTCTTGCAGATGGCGCCGGCGCTACTGCTGCTCGTCTCTCCAGCAGGGAGGGCACCACTGCCCCTCCCCCCCGCCCCACCCCCCGTGCTGGGGGCTGTTCCTTTACAACATGAAAGATGGGCAAAAGGCAGGCCAGAGTCTCAGGCCCCCAGGGGAGAAGCTGGGATAAGAGAAAGTGAGAAGGTCACTGCTCAGCGGTGAAGGTGTCTCATCAATCCATCCTCACTGCTGCTGGGCTACCTGAAAGGAAAGAGACCCAAAAGAGTCAGAATCCCAGACCAGAGGCGTCCCCCTGACTCCAAGGGAAGTCACTGACAAACAGCTCACCTGCCCAGTAGGTGACGCTAGAGACAAAGAGTCAAGTGACAAGTTCTAGAATAGTTCTCTGAAGAGTCAGCACAACCAAAATGGTCCTACCTGCTGTGGGGAAGGTTCCGGTGCCCGGTTTGCCAAGCGGCTGAGAATGTTACGCTCTGACATTTGTAACCTCACAGCAACTGGGGGGATTCGGGCAATGGTAGCTGGGAGTCGAGTCACATCGGCTTTCATATCACTCAGCAGTTCTTCCAGCTGTTTCAGAACTGCATGCGGTAAAGAAAGGTGTGAGCTGTGCCGGTCAGGACTGAGCTCCTACCCTAGGGCACCAGCTCCCCAGCCACTGTCAGTGACCGAGTGACAGGGATGTGGTGGGTTCTGTCGCTGACCTGCCCTCCACCTTGCTCAAATCCCTGTCCCTCGTATTCTAGTTCCTAGCCCTCACTGCCCTTTGTTCTCTATTGTATTGCCGCCACTTCTGGAGAGCTCGCGTCTGCTGCTTCCTCTTCTCACTCCTGGGTCTCTACCTTCTGGATCTGTTGTCTCCCACTTCCTTTTTAACAGCCTTCTTTTCCTCATTTCACCCTCCACCTCTTCACAAGGTTTTACTTTAATTAGAAACAAAATGTTGAAAGGGGTCTAGAATTTGAAGGAATCTTAAATCACTGAAGTTGCCTCAGGTTTCCCTTCTGACATTTGCTTTCTATCTCAAGAGCATGACTATATTAAGAGTGAAGAGGCAAAGAACTGCTGTCCTTGATTGCCTCGAAGGCATCACCTCCCAAGAAGGATGGCAAAGATCCCCAGCACAGCCTAAGCTCACCAAGGGGCTCTGGAAGGAGGTTTGGGCATGAGGAAATGTACGCTGGGGAGAAGTCAGAGGGAGAGCGAGCCAGACTGGATCAGCAGGAGGCAGGGGAGCCACTGGCTACCTTTGTGCAGGACTGCGTTAGCTGGCTTGTTTCCTGCCATCGACTCCTTGGAGAGATGCTGATGGCTTTCTGCCAAACACTCCACCTCGGCAAAGCGGGTGTTCAGGGCCATGGAAGGGTGAGAGGGGTCCTCTGACATGTTCAGGTAAGCTGCCCTGCGCAGCTGTTCCTCGATCACCAGGGCCTGTTCTAAGAGCTGGACGGGGGATAAAGGAGAGGCGCATTAAGATACTTGCCTTGCACTTGTACTTTTGTTAACTTGCCATAGGAGGTGTGCACTCACCAGAGACAGAAAGTGAGAGAGCACCCCCAGGGAGACTGGCCACACCACAATCCCTTTTCCAATCTTCTCTTGGCATTTTGGGTGTACATATATCCAGCATGTTTCTTAAGCACTGGTTCCAGGACTCAGCCATATGGGACACGGATGCCTTAACCTTCACTCCACCTGCTGGCCCTAAATCAGCCACTCTTCAATAACATATTTTTTAATGGCTGCATGGTAGCCTACTCTATGGATATAGCTATAGTATTATTTTTTTAAAGAATTATTTTATTAACTTTTTTTTTTTTGAGATATTTGCTATATGGTGCATGCATTCTCCAGAAAGCCAGAAATCACCCCCCGGTGGGATGGCCATGCCTCAATCCCTTCTCCTCCATTCTCCTCTCGGGATCTTGGGCACAGACGCACACGCGCCTGGCATGAGTTTAAGCCACCGGGCCCAGGACTCGAACTGCGGTCGACTACGTGGGAGTACAGTGACATAATCATTATGCCAACCACTGGTCCCTATTAACTTTACTTAACTTTGACCAGAGAGGGACAGAGCAAGAGAGAACAAGAGGAAAGTGAGAAAGGAAGCCACCAGGTCCAGGACTCGAACCACAGTCGACCGTGTGGGACTCCAGTGCCCTTAATTACCATGCCGCCTGGAGGCCCCCCTACCATATTACTTAGGTTCTTGTACTCTTGAAAAATATTTTTGCTTATGGGACCAACAGTTAGCGTAATGGCTATGTCACTGGACTCCCACGTAGTCGACCATGGTTCGCGTCCTGGACCCGGTGGCTTAAAACTCATGCTGGGCGCGTGTGCGTGTGTGCCCAAGATCCTGAGAGAATGGAGCAGAAGGGATTGCGGTGTGACCATCCCCCCTGGGGGGTGATTTCTCGCTTTCTCTCTGTCTGGTGAGTGCACGTGCCCTATGGCAAAAACCTCTCCAAATAAAGAAAAAGAAAACTATTTTTGCTTATTTTCTTTTCTGTTCGTATCTCATTTAATCCCCCTCTCCCAAAAGGCACATTTTAATATACTTACCGTGCCTTTATGTTTTTAAAGATGGCATCATTTCCTATGCACATTTCTAATCTACAGAACGTTTTCTGTACAAAGATTTAAAATGCTTTCTCTTTTTCTAATACATTTTTTAAAAAGAATTATTTAACTTTACTTATTTTAATTTGACCAGAAAGGGACACAGAGCAAGAGAGAGGGAAAAATGAGGAAGCAAGCCATTAGGTCTGGGACCCGAACCAGTTGGCCATGTGGGAGTCTAGCACCCTTAGCCACCTGCCAGACCCTCTACTACATATTTTTTAAAGGTCCATTTATGTTATCAAATCCACATGCGTACTACTGCTGCTGCTGCTTGCTGTCCTATGATGGGACTCCACTCCACACCTCACCCTTCCATTCTCCCAGTGAACATCCAGGTGTCCTGCAGGCCCCACTACCAGAAACCCTCCTGTGACAAACTCCTGCACATCTTTGATGGAGCTGGGCAAACAGTTCTTTGAAATATATCCCAAGATGCAGAATGTTGGCTCTTAAGTTATGAGAAGACTTAATCTGCCCAAGGATCTCCTGGTTCTTGAAGAGAATAGGCACATAAGGGGCCAAGAACAGGGACAGTATGAGAATGGGTGGTGGTTTTTCTCAAGACCTGGCTCCATTAGGGCCTACTAATCTGTCCTGACAGACCAAGCTTTCATTTCAGTCTAGACACCCTGTTCTCCTTCAGCAACTCCTTCCTGGCCCACACCATGAGCATTCTCCAGGTTTAGCCCTTGGCTCATGGCTGTTCTTTCAAAGCACTCTCCCAAGGGCTCGCTCCCCTCCAAGTGTGGGGCAGCAGCACCCTACGCACATGATCTGAGAAGGCTCGAATGTGCACCTCGAGCGCTCACGGTCCTGGTCCCACTGCCGCATGGTGGTGGGGTGGGCATTGGGAGGGCGTTGACTTGGGAAACACCGAGTAACTTGTCAGCTCCTTTCTACAAACTATTCCCTCTCTTAAATGACCATTTGACTTTCTCAGTGGCTCAGGCTCAAAACATCAGTTATTTGGAGCCTCACTTACTCCTTTATGCCTCAGATCCAGTCAGTCAGAAGTTGGCACAGGATGGCCTGTGGGCCTGACCTGGCCCACTGCCTGCTTTCGCATGGCCCAGGCACTAAGGGTGGTTTTTACAATTTTAAGTGGTTAAAAAGTGTCAAGATAAGACTATTTCATGACACTTTGTGAAAATTATATGGAATTCTTATTTTAGTGTCCAAGAATAGCTTTATTGGAACGTGTCCACACGAACTCACTTATGTATCACCTATGGCTGTTTTCACACAATGACAGAGGCAAGTATTCACAGCAGAGATTACATGTCCTGTAGCCCAAAATAATTGCTATCGGGCCCTTTAATGAAAAGGTTTGCTGGTCCTTACAATAAATCAAAAAGCCCTGTAAATTCTCTAGTGTTGTTTCCTTTACCTGATCCTTTTCATTTTTCATAGCCAGTATCACGCCCAGGCCTCTAACACATCATGACTGTCCAACAGTGCCACAATCTCACGAATGCCATTCCATTTCCCTTGGTCCTATCAAAACTCTGTTCACCAAAAACCCACTTCCTAGCCTCTGGCCCTTAGCTCTTCCCCGCCTACCTCTGCCATCACCCAACGTGTCTCCTATGGCTCCAGGCGGTTTGCCATTCCCAGACGCCCCTAGCTGTGCTGCCGTGATATCCCCGCCCAACCTTAGCCCTCCTGTCCCCACCCAGCAATCTCCATCGCATCCATCAAAGCTTAATTCCAATGCCAAGTCCTCAGTGAAGCCCTCTGTGAGCTCCCTCGCTGCTCCCCCACGTCCCTCCAGAGCACTTCCTCATGGCGGTCAGCAGTCTCCTCTGGTCTCAGGGCCAGCATTCATGTGGTCACACACCTGCTCCTACCGGGAACAGGCACCGGGCCTCGCCTCTCTGTGTATGCCTGTGCCGGTCACTGCTGGTGCACACCACTGGAAGGTTTACTAGTGTCCATTTCTTGTTCCCCCAGTTACACTTGGATTAAGAGCCCTGTGTCTTGTCTCTGTGGTATCCCATTTGACGGTCTGTACAAAAAGGGCCTCCAACCTTTGGTGAGTTCCTGAGTGAGGGTCCAGCAGCGGGCCTGGTGCTGGGATCTGAAAATGGAGCTCGCACCTGCGCATCTCCTCTCGCACCACACCCCTTACCCACATAGGCACTCTGACCCAGAAAGGAGGACTGACAGCCCTGCAACCTCAGACATCCAACACAACTCAGCCCCTCGCCTATCTCTTTCTTGGAACCCCAGTGGTCCCCAAACAAGCTCACTGCACTAGCCAGTAGGCACATGGTCACCTATAGGTCATTACTTCTCAAGTTTTTGCCTTGATCTGTAACATTTAAGTTACTTAGGAACAAAGCCTTCATAGAACATAGAAAGGCGGGACCACCGGCTGGCATTATGGCTATGTCAATGGACTCCCACGTAGTCGACCGAGGTTCAAGTCCTGGACCCAGTGGTTTAAACTCATGTCAGGCACGTGTGTGTGCGTGCCCAAGATCCCAAGAGGAGAATGGAGAAGGGATTGCGGCGTGGCCATCCCCCGAGAGGGTGATTTCTCACTTTCTGTCTCTCTGTCTCTGTCTTTCTAGCAAGCGCACGTGCCCTATAGCAAAAACCTCTCCCAACCCCTCCCCCCCCAAAAAAGTTAAAAGTCTGGCTGAATGAGCAGACTCCCTATGTAGAAAACTTTCCATACTTGCTGGTCTGTCACTTACACACTATAGTCCCCCCATCCTGCTTACCTTGAACCTTCGAGCTAGAAACTTATTCTTGATCTCTAAAAAGTTGCCCCGGTTCATTTCGCCCTTGAAAGGCTCATTGAGGATGGCATAGCGTGGGTCATTCTGGATGTCCTGCCACCGGGCATAGCCATGGCTATTGAAAACGTGCTTAGGAAAAACAAAGCAAGGAACAAGAATCTCAAACTCAGGGACCTGCAGAACCCTCCACCGCACAGCTCAGACTCGGGCAAAGGATACTTTATGATGCCAGCGAGCAGCCAGTAGTCATGTCGCCGATGCCAGATCTCGTATGTCTTCTTGGTGACTGTGGCTGCCCGCTCCTCATTCTGCCAGAGGGAGTGCAACTCTGAGGAGCAATTTCAGAAAGAGACGAGGGAAAACAAAGGCAAACATCTGTGAGAATCCTAAAGCTATTCATTCCTGCCCACCTTCCCCTACCCCCAGATACCAGCCTTCCAGCCCAGCCCAGAGGCGCGCACTTGGCCTGCACTCCCTCGTAGCAGAGGGGAAGTCTCTGCATGCCAACTTCTGACAAGACCCTGGCTCACTTCACGTCCTTCCAACCCCAGTGAGCCCCTCATTTCCATACCAGTAAAACCACCATCTGCGATGTTGAACATAAAACGCTGTTTAATATTTTTCTTCTGCTTCTCATCACTCAGATCCTTGGGGGTCTCTCCATTCTGAAGCATCACTTCTTTTTTCTCTTCTTCTTCTTTCTTCTCTTCTACAGGCCATGCAGGGAAAACAATGCCAGCTCCAGACAGAAGCCCAGCACCATGAACCTTATACACAGCACCACACACCAAATATCCATCCACCTCCACACTTTCTTCACCACAGGTATTTCTCAGACCCAAAAAAGGTGCCACGGACAGACTGACAACTAAACGCAGGAACAAAGAGAGTCTTTTATCTGGGGCTAACTGGCTTTATGGGTATGGATAAAGAGGAAAGGATGAGTAAAGTCTTTGTTTCTGACTTGAAGTCCTTCTAAACACAACCAGCTTTTCCAAACACCCACCTTTGTCCTCCACCACAATAGGAGTCAGATCTATCGCCGACTTCTCCTCCACCTTCTCCACGTCAGCGACACCTGGTAGAGCAGAAAGCGTGGAGGATGTACCTACAGGAAGAACACTCCCCTCTGTTCTGCACTGTTATCCCATGGGCTAGTCCTATATCTAAATCCCTGTGACTGAAGTCATGAAAGATGTTTTAAGAGGGGAAGACGTGCAACTTAAAATCAAAGATGGTGTGGGACTGCCAAGGTGGTGAGGTAGTTAAGGCACTGGATCCCACATGCCTGACTTCACGGTTTGAGTCCCAGACCTGGCAGCCTGAAAACTGTAATGGGCATGCAAGCCCAACATCCCAAGAAGTATGGAGGAAAAGAGATTGCAGGAATGATTTCTAACTTTCCCTCTCTCTCTCTGGTGAGAACATGCACCCTATAGCAAAGCTAACAAAAATTTAATGATAAAATAAAATCAGGATTCTTCAGTATATCACTTCCTCCTGACATTTTTCCAGCCTGGCAGGAAGTCCCAGGGTGGCTCTGCTTAACACAGGGATCTGTACACATCAAACTGTGTATACCTTTGGACTCTGTCTCCATAGGTTCCTCTGTTCTCTCCTTCCCCTCTGCCTTTTCCACTTTATCCTCTCCCTCAGGAGGGTCAACAAGCACTTTCTCGTCCTCTGAGGCAGGGGCAGGGGGCTGTGCGCTCTTTGAAGGGAAAAAAGACAAGATGAAGCAGATAGGCCAGCACTTGACGGGGAGAGTGGGCTCATCCACGGATCCACAGTGTGGCACCCAGCTGACTCAGCTCTTACCTCCACTGTGGCCTCAGGGGCTGCAGACTTAACCTCCTTTTCTCCTTCTGCACCCTCTTCTTCTTTGAGGCTATTCTCCTCTATTTTTATCCCGTCCTCTGCAGACCAACAGGAGACAATCAATTAGGAAGGTCGCAGTCACAGAAGGTTGCACTTTACCCGTTTATGTCATCTGAAACTGTCCTCTCGTGCCTTTAAGAGCCAGCCCCATTCTTAGGACGGCTCTCCTAAACTGAGAGGAGGATGCTGTGTGTCCTGCCAGGCTACCCTGCAAAACCGAGTGCAGGGGAGCAGAAAAGCACCGGCCAGGACAGAAGGAAACGACGGTGCCAGGATGGGCAGGCTCACCAGCAGGCGGGGCAGGCGCAGGAGTGTTGGGTTGCGTATCCCCTGGCGTGGAGGGTGTGGGAGTCTTTGGGGAGGGTGATCCTGGCTGGGACATTTTTTTGTTTTCTTCTACTTCGGCCAGTTCGGGCATGCTCCAGCGCCCGTTTACATGTTCAAACTCCTGGACCTGCAGCAACACAGCAGACAAGACATTGAAGACCCAGCTCCAGCTCTGCCTCCCTTCCTGTTGGCCATCAGCTCCCTAGAAGCACTGAACACTGGAGGGGAGCTCAGGGCTCACCTTCTTGCGAATCAAGGACATGACACCAATCCTAGTGAGGACGTGCTGGCGAGACAGGCCTTCTCGGGGTACCCCATCAGCAAAGGTCTCAGCCCCATCCGCCCCCGGCTCACATAAATGCCTCATGAAGAGAGAGACATAAGCCCTGTGGTAAGGAAGTGAAGAAATGAGTTAAACAGTGATGATACCAACTCCCACGTCAGACTTTCCTGCCCCCAGGTAGGCACTGTCACAGGTGACAGCCATGGCTCCACCTGAGAGAGAGCCATGGCTGTCAGCCCCACATACTGGGGCCTGGTCTCAGGACCCCACACCATGCCAGGTTCTCTTTCAGGAAAGCAAGGAATACAAAGAATTTAATTACTTTCTTTTTCTTTTTTCCCCAAATTTGCCAGATGGTGCATATACTGGCCAAAAAGAGAGAGAGAGGAATAAAACGTTCCCCAAGGACCATGGTCACACCACAGTCCATTCTCCTCCATTTCTCTATCTTGCCAGGGTTTCAGACACACAAACATGCACCAGCAAGTTTATCAAGCAGCCAGGCCAGAATCTGAACCCTGTGGCTGACCGTGGACCTAACTCCCTAACCACCAGGCCATAGGCCGGCCCCACAAAGAACTCATTCTAACAGCTGCACCTGCCAACGACACCATGGGGAAGAGCCAGTCCTCTGCACAGCCTGGCCCAGACTAGGGAACACCGGACAGGCGAATCCTTCTCTCTCTCAGGCGCTCCAGCCCCCGACTTACTTGAACTCTTTCTCTGATTTGCCTCGAAGATCTCTCACAAGCCACTGGGTGGTAAAAGCATCCTGAGGTGGCATCCCGTAACGCATAATTGCATTAAGAAAGGCTTTCCGCTGACGAGCATTAAAACCAAGTACCTGGGTTGGGGGAGAGGGAATCTAGGTGAGAGGCAGGTCTCATCTCACTCCACCGAAGAACCAGCCCTTGGTGCTCCCCCGTCCCTCCTGAGAAGTGAACAGCACTTACTTCAATGTTCCCACCAACACGGGCCAACAGAGGAGGCAATGGCTTATCTTTGTCATTCCGCAGGCCCTTACGGCTAGGCCTGCGGGGAGCTGCAAGAAGAACGGGATGAGTGAGCGACACTGGATGGTACTAGACAAAGCAGTATTTCGAACACCAGCAGAAGAGCAGGGCCCTCACCTTCTGAACGTTCATCAAAGTCTTCATCACCTTCCTCTGAGGCCACCGAATAATCGGACTGGTTGTCGGACTGGTCGTCCTGCCAATCTGGAGGGAGAGAGGGCAGATGAGCGGGGCCCACTGCTCTAGCGGAACGGCCCGTGGGTGGGGGGCGGGGCCGGCCACACACACCTCGGTCCTCCTGCGAGCCATCATTGTAGTTGACCTGTTTACGGATTCTTTTCCCTTTGCCCAGATTCCGGGCTAGGTCTTCTTGCTGCTGCTCATAATGGTGCCGCAGCAGTTTCTCCCAGTAGTCAGGGTCCACACTTTCTTCCTGTTTTATGATCTCCCGTTCTACCTCCTCTTCCTCCTGGGACAGAGGGAGGGCCAGGACTCAGGGGTGCTGAAGTCGGCATGGCCAGCTCCCCCAGGCCTCACAGTTCCCATTCTGCTAGCTCCTCTCCATGACTGGACTCTTACGTACTCGGCGTGCCTGCGTGGACCTGAGAATCTCAGAGACATTTAAGTGACAGTGTACGGCTCTTCAACAGGACGTACAGATCTGCAGTCGGCATGACCAAGAACAGAGGCCAGGGCTATTAGCACAAGAGCAAGATGGAAAGACACTATGAACTTCCTGCTCCCCCTTTCCCTGACACATACAGCAGGGAGAAAGCAAAAAGGAAAAGAGAGGTTAGAGCTCTAGCCAGGCAGAATGGAGCAGCTTCTGAAATACTACAAAAGGTTTCACAGAGATTAAACAGAAAGACTGTAAACCCTTCTCATCTTCATAATGTCCTAAAAGCTACCAACTGTCTGAAGAAAAAAAAAAAAAAACCAACACCAAAAAGATTAACTATATCCTCTTATTTCCCAATAACACTCACACACCTTAGGCAGTTTTATGTAAGATCTATTTTGTCAGGCACTTCATGACCACTGACTGATTCCAAATCCCTTACATTAGAATCAAAACTGCTGGGCCTGCCCTGTAGTCTAGTGGTTAAGGGAGCTGCTTTCCATATGGCTGACCAGGGGTTAATCTCAGCCCCGGCAGCTTGAAATATAAACGGAGCACGTGTGCGGGTGTACCTAACACCCCAACACAGTGGAGATGGGAAGGGACTGTAGTGTGATTACTCCCATGGGAGGGTGCTTTCTCCTTCCCTCTCTAGCTCTCTTCTTCGTCAATTAGAAGGGAAAAAATAATTAAATTGCTAATAGCATGATATTAGAAACAATCTAAACACCCATCATCAAACAACTAATTAAATCAATGACAGTACTTCCAAACAAGGATGTTTTATGGGGAGATGGCGGGGCTCTTTTATATTGATTTGGACTCTAAGCTATATTACGTGGACAAAAGCAAGAAATAGAATATATAAACAGCAAATGAGTCCTCTGTAGCCATGTGTTCAACCAACCATGGTCTGAAAATATTTGGAAAAAAAAATACAAACTTAAAAACACAGTATGAGGAGTTTACACCGTCTTAGATATTATACATCGAGGTATGAGTAAAACATACGCACGCTGAGGCACGAAGGTTATACTGTGACTACTCCGTTTTACATCACAGACTTGAAAATCCGCAGACTTCCAAATCCAGGGGGTTCTGGAGCCCATACCCCACACACACCAAAGGGCAGGTGTATTTTTGTGTTTAAAGAAAAAGGGGTAGGATTAGCCTGGTAGCCTAGTGGTTAAGGGACCCTACATGACCCACTGCAGTTGGAATCTGGGCCCTGGCAGCCTGGAAACATGCCCCAAATCCTGACAGGATGGAGACATGGAAGCCACCTGCAGCACGACTGCTCCCCACTGGTGGTGGTGGTTCAGGGGGTGCTTTTTCTTTCTATCTCTGGTGAGTACACACTCTATTTTTTTTTTTAAGTTATGCTATAGGGCGCATGTACCTGCCAGCGACAGCACAGAGAGAAGGGAAAGTAAAAAATAACCCCCCCCGGGGGGGGGGGGACCACACTGCAATTCCTTCTCCATGCTCGAACCTGGTGGCTTAAACTCACGCTGGGCACGTGTGCATGTGTGCCCAAGATCCTGAGATAAGAATGGAGAAGGGATTGCAGCGTGGCCATCAATCACCCCTGGGGGGTGATTTCTCACTTTCTGTCTCTCTGTCTTTCTGGCGAGTGCACATGCCCTATAGCAAAAACCTCTCAAAAGAAAAAGAGAGGTCAGCAGGTGGTGTGGTGGTTAAGGTGCTATATTCCCATATGGCCAACTACTGTTCGAGTACCAGACCTGGAAGCTTGCTTTCTCATTTTTCCCTGTCTCTCTCTGGCCAAATTAAAAAATAACAACAAATAGAATTAAGTAAATAAGTAATTCTTTAAGAATTAAAAAGAAAAAAGTAATGGAGCAGGCAGGAACACAACCCTCTGCAAAGCCAGACCCACATGAGAACGGTGTCCAGAAGCTGCCCTTTGCATGTTGGACTCCTGTGCACATGCCAGTGATCCAGGCTAGCTACGGCAGGGAGTGAAATGCAGCATGACCTTGTTGTGGGGATGCCACTCACTCCTCTATCCTCCATGTCTCGCTCTCTCTCATGGAAAAATTAAATAAAATTAAAAAAAAAAAAAGTCTGAAAGAAAAAAGAGGCCCATAGTGGTGGCACGAAGGTTAAGGCACTAGATACAACATGGCCACCTATGTGGATCAATTCCCAGATACCCAACTTGAAAAATGACACCGGATGCGTGTGTGTGCATGCCCAAAATCCTGAGGGGAGAGTGGAGGAGGGACTGGTGTAGCCATCCCCTCTGGGGGGTGATTTCTCACTTTCTCTCTTCGGCAAGCACCCGTGCCCCATATCACACTAATATGTATATGTGTTACATACAATGTGTGTGTGTGTGTGTGTGTGTGTGTGTGTATGTGTTTGGGGAGGGACATACAGAAATTGAAAACATTAGCTGTCCCCAGAAAGGGAACTCAGTAGTTAGAAGTCAGAGTTTGGATACCTTTATCTTTTGAATTTTGAACCATGTAAGCTACCTATTCAAGAAAATAAAAGTTAAAAAAATTCTGTAATACATCATCAAAAGCGTGAACTACAGGTACTCATCAGAGGACGGCGTGTGTGCTCATGTGCTCACTACAGGGTTACCCAGTGGCACTGGCACGTGCTGTCCAGCCAACCACTTGTGCTTCCACTCGCCGCTAGTAAGAGGAGCGTGGCGCACCCCAGCAGCAGGGCAGTTTTAACCGAGTGCTCCTGGCCTACAGGGCTGCGTCAGCGTTCCCAGCCACCATTATGTGAGCTGAGGTTCGAGTCCCGAACCTGGTGGCTTGCTTTCTCACTTCCCCTGCCCCCTCTCTCTGTCTCTCTCTCTAGTCAAATTAAAATGAATGAATGGATAAATAAATTAAATAATTCTAAAAAAAAAAAAAGAGAGAGAGAGAAAAGCTCTCTATAAATTCCCATTTTATGAAAGACCTGAGTTTAGTCAATTTGGACCATGTAGAGATCATCATGGCCATGAAAGATGAATTTGGATTTGAAATT